AGCTGCTAATACAGTAGCGGGTGCAGCTGCTACTGTATTAGCAGGTTCAGCTGCTAATACAGTAGCAGCTGCACCTGCTACTGTATTAGCAGGTGCAGCTGCTAATACAGTAGCGGGTGCAGCTGCTAATACAGTAGCAGGTGTGGCTGCTAATACAGTAGCAGGTGTGGCTGCTAATACAGTAGCAGGTGTGGCTGCTAATACAGTAGCGGGTGCAGCTGCTAATACAGTAGCGGGTGCAGCTGCTAATACAGTAGCGGGTGCTGCTGCTAATACAGTAGCAGGTGCAGCTGCTAATACAGTAGCGGGTGCAGCTGCTAATACAGTAGCGGGTGCAGCTGCTAATACAGTAGCAGGTGCAGCTGCTAATACAGTAGCAGGTGCGGCTGCTAATACAGTAGCGGGTGCAGCTGCTAATACAGTAGCGGGTGCGGCTGCTAATACAGTAGCGGGTGCGGCTGCTAATACAGTAGCGGGTGCAGCTGCTAATACAGTAGCGGGTGCTGCTGCTAATACATTAGCAGGTGCAGCTGCTAATACAGTAGCGGGTGCAGCTGCTAATACAGTAGCAGGTGCAGCTGCTAATACAGTAGCAGGTGCGGCTGCTAATACAGTAGCAGGTGCGGCTGCTAATACAGTAGCGGGTGCAGCTGCTAATACAGTAGCGGGTGCGGCTGCTAATACAGTAGCAGGTGCAGCTGCTAATACAGTAGCGGGTGCAGCTGCTAATACAGTAGAAGCTGCACCCTCTACTGTATTAGCAGGTGCTGCTGCTAATACAGTAGCGGGTGCAGCTGCTAATTTAGTAGCGGGTGCTACTGCTAATACAGTAGCGGGTGCAGCTGCTAATACAGTAGCGGGTGCTGCTGCTAATACAGTAGCGGGTGCAGCTGCTAATACAGTAGCAGGTGCTGCTGCTAATACTGTAGCGGGTGCTGCTGCTAATACAGTAGCGGGTGCAGCTGCTAATACAGTAGCGGGTGCAGCTGCTAATACAGTAGCGGGTGCAGCTGCTAATACAGTAGCAGGCGCAGCTGCTAATACAGTAGCGTGTGCGGCTGCTAATACAGTAGCGGGCGCAGCTGCTAATACAGTAGCGGGCGCGGCTGCTAATACAGTAGCGGGCGCGGCTGCTAATACAGTAGCGGGCGCGGCTGCTAATACAGTAGCGGGCGCGGCTGCTAATACAGTAGCGGGCGCGGCTGCTAATACAGTAGCGGGCGCGGCTGCTAATACAGTAGCGGGCACGGCTGCTAATACAGTAGCGGGCGCGGCTGCTAATACAGTAGCGGGTGCAGCTGCTAATACAGTAGCGGGCGCAGCTGCTAATACAGTAGCGGGTGCAGCTGCTAATACAGTAGCGGGTGCTGCTGCTAATACAGTAGCGGGTGCAGCTGCTAATACAGTAGCGGGTGCACCTGCTAATACAGTAGCGGGTGCAGCTGCTAATACAGTAGCGGGTGCACCTGCTAATACAGTAGCGGGTGCACCTGCTAATACAGTAGCGGGTGCAGCTGCTAATACAGTAGCGGGTGCAGCTGCTACTGTATTAGCAGGTGCAGCTGCTAATACAGTAGCGGGTGCAGCTGCTAATACAGTAGCAGGTGCAGCTGCTAATACAGTAGCGGGTGCAGCTGCTAATACAGTAGCGGGTGCTGCTGCTAATACAGTAGCGGGTGCAGCTGCTAATACAGTAGCGGGTGCAGCTGCTAATGCAGTAGCAGGTGCAGCTGCTAATACAGTAGCAGGTGCAGCTGCTAATACAGTAGCGGGTGCAGCTGCTAATACAGTAGCGGGTGCTGCTGCTAATACAGTAGCGGGTGCAGCTGCTAATACAGTAGAAGCTGCACCCGCTACTGTATTAACAGGTGCAGCTGCTAATACAGTAGCAGGTGCAGCTGCTAATACAGTAGCGGGTGCAGCTGCTAATACAGTAGAAGCTGCACCCGCTACTGTATTAACAGCTGCAGCTGCATATTTTTGCAATAAAAATGTTATGTTGTAATGGAATTCATGCATTAGTTTTTGTTTGCTTTGAACTCAGAGCAGACGTCACACGCCAGACGACATCAACACTGCATACTTTAGTATTTGTTCATTTATCGTGAGTAATATCGATATTGCAATATTAAGCACTGTTATCGAATATCGCAGGTTTTCCTAATATCGTGCAGCCCTAGTGTTTGGTGTAAATAATGATATTTCTAGGTGTCGTACCCGCGGGGACCGGGCTTTCTCAGTCCTAGCACCGTCACTCTGGAACCAGTTGCCACCCTCAGTTAGGCTGTCCCCATCTCTGCCAGCCTTTAAGAGTCGCCTAAAAACCCATCTTCTCCGCTTGGCGTTTCCTGAACATGTTTGATTCGGCCCTCTTTTACGTTGAATTTCTTTCACAGTTTTCATTGGTTCACTCTATCCCTTGTTTTACCCATCTGTCCTGTACTAGAATGTTTCACCTTTTTTTGTAATTTGAATTGCTTTTATTTTTGATTTATTCACTATATGTGTACTTCTACTGTACCATGTTCAGCGCCTTGGGCTTCCTGACAGGGTTGCGGAAGGTGCTTTGTAAATAAAGCTTTGATTGATTGGTTGATTGATTGATTGATTGATTGATATTGGAGTCTGTAAACTTTTGATCAAATCTAATTTGCTTGTTTGGCTAGGGTTTGTCTTGCAAAATGTGCAACTTTTACTCCCAAAATGACTCTCAAAGAGGTTCAGAAATGTCATTTTTTCACATGAATATTCACCTGAAGCGAATGCAGTTCAGCTGTTTTAAGTTTGCTCTCCCAGTTTCTGACAAATTTATTGAGTTTTTCTTCTTTATCTAAAAATATCAAATAAAAAAATCTTTAATTTCTCAGTGTATGGTCGTCTAAGCTCCTAGCTTCTAGTGAAGCTAGCAAATGTCCTGCCAATAACAAACAAGTAAAAACTTAAGTTACAATATACTGTTCATGAGTGCATGTTCTTTAAAATTATAATTCAAGTTCTATTTTTATTAATGCACTAACTTGGAGCCAGTGCATGAGCCCCACAGGCAGAGCCAGCCCTAGTTGTACGCATGTCAAGCAACTGCTTGGGACCCCCAAGAGCATATATATATATATATATATATATATATATATATATATATATACACACACACACACACATATAATTTAGCATTGCATTGTTTATAAAGTGGCTTTTTGTTTTATTTTGTAGTGTTTGCGCATTTTATTCACATCTGTTCCAAATTTTAAGAAAACAAAAGTTAAGTTAGCTTGTTTACTGTAAATTCAGCATCTTTTCTGCTGATGTTACTCTTAAATAGTTTAATATAACACTAATAAGGAAAACCTGCTTTGGGCCCCTCAAAGGCGTGGGCCGGCCCTGCACACATGAGCACCTTAAAAAATGATGTTTGAGTAAAACGAGACAAATGAAACGTTTTCCTGAATCTAAATCTAACAAAAATCAAGATTTAGATTTAAAAACATCGTTATCATTAACGTTCAACATGTGTAACTGTGCTAACCCGCTCCCAGGAGTTTGAACGTGAACTTTAACAAACACTGAACTCTGTTCTGGTAGCATTCCAGCTGGAGCGTCTGCCCACACAAATCATGTATGGGGAGGAAGATGACACTCTCTGCCACCATTTGCATATTCATTAAGTTTGGAGCCGAGTGTGACCGGTCCGAGGGCAGAGAGGTTGACTCATCAAATTATAGATCTGAATGCGCTGTGGGAAATATTTAAAAGTACATCACATCACAAATCAATCCAAAAATTAAGAAACACACATTATTTAATAATTTAAAAAAGTATCTTCCTTTAATGTCATCGTTCTCATCACTCTTTTTGGTATAAATAACTCAGTTTATTAAAACCGGAGGCTATCTATAATTCCTCTTCTTTTAAAGAAAGTTGTGCAAGTTTCCCACAAGAGACCTTATGATCCTAGATTAGTTTCTAGTTGAGCAGAGGCTTTAAAAATCAGAAAAAAGGTAATGAAATAAAATGTTTTTCAGGAAAAAGTAATTCATCTTAGTGCCTGGTTGGTAGCTAATTTAGACAGCTTACTTTAATTATTAGGTGAATAACATTTTCTTCAACTTTTAAATGTGTTTCTGTAAAAACTTTATGTAGTTTTTACGCTCCTACCTGTAGTTTTCAGCTTCCTGGACAACCTCTGTTTGGAGAAACATGGTATAAAAATGGCAGGACTGATGAGCAACTGCTGCCAAGGCCAAAGCGTGTTGTCGTCGTCCTAAAATGGCTCCAATCTGCAAAATTTTAACTTTAACTTGATAAATTGCAGAAATGCTGTTTGAATGCTGATTGCTGAGATGGTTGAATGGGCCGGGATAGGAAGCTGGGCAGCTGCAAGCTACAAGAAGGAAAATGTTAGGACTCTGTGGACTTCAACTTTAAAGATATCAATATGAAAAGACATAGCTGGCCTTTCTTGAATTAGCTAAGCATGTTGATACCCCATTTACATAGGTTTTAAAAAATTGTAGAGGATGTACTCTAAAAAACAAACAGAAGAATCTTGAATAAAGAAAAACAAGAATACTAATGTTTGAATTAATGTGTTTGAACCTTTACACAACCACCGTTTTAGCAAACGTACCTACTTTGGCAGGAATATTTTAAAATCCCGTTCACATTTAACCCTCTCTGATTTTTACACTAGTGATAAATAACCACAGAATCCCATGCCAATAACAGTGATGGAAAACTGATAGCAATGTAAATAATAGGAGCCAGAACTGTTTTAATACACGTTACTATTAGTTGTGCTTGGACTAGCAGTTAGCTAGTCTTGTAGCATGTCAGTGCTATTTCTCCAAGCACAGGCTTTTCAAAGAGCTGGGTTTCTGAATGCGGCTTCCCTGAAACATGAGTTAAATTCAAAATAGAGAATTAAGGTTTTCGAATGTAGGAATAAATATTTTTGGATTAAATACGTATTTTTGTAAAGATTTGCTTGTTTTCTTTTTGTGCAGCTGGTGAGAAGGCCATCGTCTGTGACCAGTGTGGCGCCCAGTTCCAGACGGAGGAATCCCTGGAGGCTCATCGGCAGATCCACACTGGTATGAAAACACACACACACACACACACAGCATGCATGTCTTAAATGGAACTCTTTCACAAAACACATCTGTACATTTGAATCAGGATGCCATGTGGGTAAGGCTTTTGGCTAGGATGCACTCCTGGGTGAGTGGAGCCGTGACTGACAGACAGATCGCATCATTTGGATTAGTCCCACTCGTTCTAAATCAGGACAGACCCAACGGTAATCAACAACCCGAGAAAATTTGGCAGGCCAATGTTGTTTATCAGCGCTCAGTGACGGAGATGGGAAGACAAGGATCATCTAGGTGCCAAGATGTAAATGGGAAGATGTGACGCCCCCCTCAGCAGATGTGTGGCCCAGAGCCGTTTCACTGCTGCTGATGAACTCTTTAATTTGAAAGAGATTGTGTCCACTTTGTGTTGGACTTCCAGGGCTTTGGGCCTTTTTTAGCCATTCAGGATGCAGTTTTTAGCTCCTTTGTCTCTTTTCTATCGATCTATTTTTACTCCATCACAAAAATGATGATGAGCTGCTGCAGATGCTGACAAACTAGATCTGGAAAGTGTCGCCATAATGCTCCTCACCACGGATTATTTTTGAAACTGGCGATATTAGGAGTGTATAATGGATTCATGCTGGATGTGTTTTCTATTTAAAGCTTCAGATTAGTCACAACTTTGAGCCTCTGTGTTTGTGTGTAATCAATAGCAGCATGATTATACAGTGTTGGGCTTTGGTTAAACACTTTAAATCTGCTCCAGCTCCAGCATTTGCTGCATAAAGAAGCTTTTTCACATCTTTCTGTCTATTATGAGTGGAATCCAATGAAATCTGAGAAATGCCAGAATCTAAATTTTCCGTTTATACACACTTTGCCACCTAAATATTCACTGGATGTTTCTAAATAATCCAGCTGATCTTGTGAACGAACAATTGAGAGAGGACTCAAGGTCACGGGGGTCACCAAATAACCAGTCAATGCCGCTATCATTCAAGCATGTCAAACAAAGACGAAACAGTTCTCGAAAATAGCCCCACCAGAGTTATTGTTATCACCTCATGTTCAGGGTTTGACCTGAAGGGTGCCGCTGCCTTTTCCTCCCTGGGGAAAAGTGGGGAGGTGCAGTAAGGACTCCGGGAGTGAAAGGAGGGGTACCCCTGAGGGCCATGCCCTCAGCCAGTCAGCTCGTTGGAGGTAAAGGGGGTTAAACGAGGCTAATGATTCAACAGCAATAACAGCGGAAAGGAGCTCTCTAAATATAGGCATTCTAGCCTGGAACGACTTGAAAGAGTCTGGAGGAGGAGGGAGGTGCAACGGTTTGTGTGTGTGTGTGTGTTTGTGGGGGGTTCCGGTCAGACGACTGGAGCAGCAGCAGTAATAGTTTAATAATCATGTGTGTGTTGAGCCCCTGTGGTGGATCAGAGTTGGTAAAACATGACACAATGCATTAATGTAACAGTGAACAGTTTCCTGCTCGTCTGCCTTGCTGTTTGAAAATGGAATCGCAGCTGTTGCGAAACAACCCCGCAGCAGCCTGCTGTAGCTAGCGCTAACAACAAGCTAACACCAACATGAGCTCGGCTAATACTAAAATAAACCACAAATCAAAAAATTCCTCACTGTTGGACAAAAAATATTATTACTTACAAGTCCAGTAACAACAAAGCCAGGTCACCATCAGTCCATGGTTTTGTAGCTTCCTTTATCCCCCTCAAACAAGTGTAGGATGTTCTCTCTGGTTTCAGCTCTTTGCTTCACCTCCAAAAACATTACTCTCATACTTTTACTTCCAGGCTCTACCATGATGCCAACAGCAAAAGTAAACTTCTTTTTCTTCTTCTTGTGCTTTTTATTGACGATTGGCAAACGGAAAATGCTAACTGCAAGCATTACAGCTAACAGCCGTAAAGCAGGTAAAGTGTGCTCCCTATAACTATGTAGTGCAGTTTTTGGTCAGCAGAGGGTAGCAGAGTGGTATCAGATATGAAACTGGTCAAGTTTCTAACCCAACAATCACTGAGATCATGGTTAAAGCTCTAGCTTAAAGTAAAAAAAAAACTATCTGTTGTTAACTGCATGACGTGCGTCCCACTTTCAGTTTCTGTTTCTCGCCCTCGGAGCATCTACAGCAGGGGTGTCCAATCCATGGTTCAAACTCAAACGTGCAGGACACCGGCCCTCCAGGACCAGGATTGGACACCCCTGATCTACAGCATACCCGTTCTAAATGTGGTCATTGGCATTCTAACATCCCGAAATTTAAGTTTAATTTCAACATTTTGGTTTCAAAACGAAATCAGAGTCCCTGATTTGACTTGTTAGCTTTTATATATCTGGTCTCTGATTGGCTACTTGCACATCTACCAGTGTTCGTTCCAGCAGACGATATGTGGCGTCGCGTTTGTGTGTTTGGTATTCATATGGTGACACTCAACGGCTAAGTGTTATCCATGCACGGAGCTAAACAGAGAGCTGAGGGTCGACTCCCCTGAAGCCAGCTGGTCCGTTTCCAGCTTCGCTGACTGAGATGAGAGAGTCCACCACTACCACCCTAATGTGTTGATTTTGTCATCAGCAGTTTGACCTTCAGTCTCATCCATTATAGTTTAATTTTATTCTGAAGCCTTTAAATTTTCTGGTTTTGATGCAGTTTTCTTTAAATGCAAAACGTAATCGTGTCAGCTGATTCAGGCCAAACGTGAACGAAACCACTGATGGAGCATAACTTTGTTCACATACCTCTTTTTTATTTGAGCTTGAAATCATAACAAATATGTATTTGTGCAGAAATGTTTGTGCAATGCCCAAGAGGCTCTGGAGTGGGCGTGTGGTGGAAGCAGGGGGTTACTGTTGGCCATCAAAGCCAGATTTGATCTCTGCCTGCCTCTTGGCAGCACTTCAGCTGTTGGCTAATGTTCCCCAATGACAATATTTGGCTTCTGTGGCCGTTTCTCGCTGCTCTGAATAGGAACTATTGTGGCATTTCCTCCGTTGGGCCGATCATCTGCAGTCTGACTCAAGCTCCGTCTCCTCTTCACTTTTTGTTTTCTCTCTTTCTCGGATTCAACGCGAATGCTCGTGCACACCTCTGAAAGTTATGCAAAATACGTGGCGCTCATAAAAAGTGTTTATTCAAAACCTCGAGATGTTTTTATTCCGGGGCTGTCGGGGCGTTTCTCGGCGTGTCACTGTGATGGACAGGCTGTTGGTGTGGAGGGGGGGCGCTGGTCAGAATGCCAGGAAAGCTAGCAGCGAAACATCATGTGGCTGTTTTAACCCACTGAACAAGACACACACACACACACACACACACACACACCCTCTCTCTGCCAACCATCACCCAGCCTTGGTGGTGTTGTGCAACACAAATGAATCTGAGAATGCCCGTGTTCAGCAGCGTGTGAGTTTCATTACGACTATTCATGGTTAGTTTTTGTCGCATATTTCCCCAAATTGGATGGCATCGCGTCCGAGTCTTTCGTTCTCTAGACTGGACTCGCTGCAAAGAACACAGACCGTGTAGCTTTCACAGAGCTCTCATCCGTAGAGGAAACACCGCTGTCATTGAGAGCCGTAGACCACTTCTTACACACACACACACACGCACACACACACACACACACACACACACACACACACACACACACACACACACACACACACACACACACACTCTGTTCTCGAAATCGTAGACAATAAAGTCGGAGAGCAGTTTTATCTTACAGGTCTTACAGATGGCTGATGCTGATTTTTAACATCAGAGCACATTTCTTTTCTGATTCAGGTATGTTTACGTCAAAATCTAACTAAAGTTTCATAGAATTTTCTGAAAATAAACAATTTTCTGAAGTGTGACCGGTTTAAAAAGTGTCAGATATCGGCCAGTGCTGTTCTAGGTCTTGTGTGTTGCTGTTGGCAGCCTCTAAGCAAACATAAAACACATGAACTGACTCTTGTATCATGACAGATTTTTATTGGGATTCTTTTTCATATGTTTTCATGCCAAATTTCAGCAGTAATGCATCGTTTTCTTTCTTTATTTTCTGTTGGGGTTAACAACACCTGAGTATCTCTGATCAAAGGAAGATGTTCGATGGACTTGTGAAATAAAATGCAATTTTATTTCAAAAAGGAGGGAAAAGATGGACTAAAATGTCTAAAACTGATTTTTATTTCAATCAATGTATAAATAGAACTTAGAAACTCATTATTTACTATAGTAAGTCATAAATGTGTTGTCTTAGAATTATTATGACTTTTATTAGTTTCATTAAATAAAAATCTGACTCTGTACCTGTCCCTATTCCTATCATTCCTCAGCTGTTTACTTTCCAGCTCTTTTATTTCTCACCTCTCACACTTGATACCAGGGGCGGATCTAGGGTTTTCATGAGTACAGGGCCATCAAGGGGGCTGCAGTGTCCACAATATTTCTAAACATCCCTATTTGGCACCAGTAGTGTTTGGACTTGGAATTGTATTCGCATATAATCTGATAATCACTCAAAGGACACATGAGTGACAGGTTGGGGGCTTCAGGGGACCAGTCAGATCTCAGCAGGGGCCCCTGTGGCCAATGGTTGATCCTGATGGTGTTTCTCCACTCCTGTCTTTATCTCTACAGCTCTGCTGGCTAGATTCATTTCTTTTCTTCAGTAAATCGTTTCAGTCCCTGCCATAATATGTAGGTGTCGCATTTTATTGGTGCGCCCACCGCACGGGCTTGATTTAAGCGTACGCTACAACGTAAAAGGTCAGAAAATGTGCAGAGAAAGTTGCTCACAAACACAACAGTAGCATTAAATCGAAGTTAAAATAGTTTTTTATGCTGTCTAGTGAGGAGGAGTAATGCAGATTTCACTACCGAACATATTCGTGCGTTTCACAGGCTCTGCGGGATCACAACGAACCATCTATCCACGGCTACACGCTTGTAATTCGCAGTGAAATCTGCAGATTCAGCTGCCAAATTAGAGCCACGATGTGAGCGGTTGCCTGTTATTCAGCATGTG